TGGCCGAGGCAGCGGCGGCACAGACATGCATGGCACCGCCGACACGTGGACGACGACGAGGCGGCAGAGGCGGGGGGCGGTAAACAACGGAAAACTGTTGTCACTAGTATACAGATGTGTCACAAAAGCGAAGATATAAAAAACCCAGCCACGAAGAACTACAAAACTAAAGTACATGTGAATCGCGTATAAGAAAACGAATGCGAAGCACCCTCCGAAAAAATAGGAAATAACCAAATCAAAACCACGGTACATATGTCTAATGTAAGTGGATAGGAGTCATGGCAGGAGCAGTTGTTGTCTTAGTTCGTCTCATGTACTTTAGTTCTTCAGTTCTTTGCGGTAGGGTTTTTATATCTCCGCTTTTGTAAGACATGTGTACAGCAGTGACAGCTATTTCACTTTGTTTGGTGGGTGGTATTTATGATACATGAGAGGAGTTGTTCGACGAGACTTTTGTGCATCCGGGGATCTCACTCTCATATGACATGTTTTTTGTGTCATTCAACAGTTGTACTGATTTTACTCTCTCGTTGGATGATCGTGTTGTTTCATATTGCCAATGGGTTTGCCTCAACGTTGTGTGTCAAAGTTAGTCAAACTGGATGCACGATGTCACGCTGTGGATGATGCATTGTCTCGTTGTGTGTCAAAGTGAATGCATAATGTCACGGTGTACATCATGAAAGTGATCGAAGCAGACGGGCCCCACCAAACGGGCCGCCCACACCGCAAACGAGCACCACCAAATGGGATGAGATAACCACCACCCAAATGGGCCCCACCAAACGGGCCCCACCCAAACGGGCCCCACCAAACGGGCCCCACCAAACGGGCCCCACCACCGCACCAAACGGGCCGCCCACACCGCAAACGGGCACCACCGAAATGGGCCCCACCAAACGCGCCCCACCAAACGGGAACCACCCAAATGGGCCCCACCAAATGGGCCGCCCACACCACAAACGGCCCACACCCAAACGGACCCTACGAACCCAAACGAGCACCACGAAAAGGGATGAGATAAGCAGCAAACAGGCCCTGCCAAACGGGCCCCACCCAAACGGGCCCCACCCAAACGGGCCCCACCGAACTGGACCCACCAAACGGGCCCCACCAACCCAAACGGGCCGCAGATATCCGCCGCCGAGGGGGATTCATAGCAACTTCAATGATTTTTCATGCTCAAAAAAATGTGTGAAAAAAACTGAAAATTGGACTAGTACATGCAAATTTTATTGTGATGACCACCACCCAAATGGGCCCCACCAAACGGGCCCCACCCAAACGGGCCCCACCAAACGGGCCCCACCAAACGGGCCCCACCAAACAGGCCCCACCAAACGGGCCGCACCAAACGGGCCGCACCAAACGTGCCGCCCACACCGCAAACGGGCACCATCGAAATGGGGCCCACCAAACGCGCCCCACCAAACGGGACCCACCCAAATGGGCCCCACCAAATGGGCCGCGCACACCGCAAACGGTCCCCACCCAAACGGGCCTCACGAACCCAAATGAGCACCACTAAATGGGATGAGATAAGCAGCAAACGTGCCCCGCCAAACGGGCCCCACCCAAACGGGCCCCACCCAAACGGGCCCCACCAAACTGGACCCACCAAACGGGCCCCACCAACCCAAACGGGACCCACCAAACCGGCCCCACCCAAACGGGCCCCACCGACGGCAATTTCGGCAAACGGGCCCCACCAACCTACTTTTTCCAACCCACACCATTTGCCACCCCAACACGCAACAATAGCCCCTAATGAATAACCCCCTCCCCAACCCCCCAACCACCGCCGGAATTTTATTTTTTTTTCGTCGACACGTACATTGCGACGTGTCGAACACCCCCACTTCGACAAAATCGCGAAAAGGGGGTGGGGGTATTTTTTTGGGGGGGGTCATAGGGAACCAAAAGTGACCCCCACTGATTTTTTTTTTTTTTTTTTTTTTTCGGTGCGCAGGCCTAGGGACGCCGATGCGCCGCCGGGAGCCGTTTTCGGAATTCCGAACGGACCTCCCTTTCGGCCGCCACGGGTCCGCGCGTCTGCGCGAACGCGCCCGCGGGGCCGCAGACGTCCGCCGCCGAGGGACTGCTTTGCCCACTGCATCATCCTCGCCTCTCTCTACACCATCACAATGCTTGTTGATAGGAGGTAGGTACTAATATGTTTTGGTTGCTTCACGTATTCAGTATAGGGACCAATGGGCTCTCGCACAAGTATGACGAAGCAGAGCGGGTATAACGAGTGGACTAGAGCTCGAGATTATTGGAATGAAGTACGACCTGACACTGTACGAACTGTACCCATTAGGATAATTGTTTAAGATTAAGCCTGTTCTACCAAAGGTAGGGGTTACTTGACGGTATAACCACTCACTGCCTTGACATGGGTCATATCATATCCCGACTGATAGCGGCAACGTACTAGGACTGGAACACCTGAATAATGGTACTGAAGTGCGGATGAAGGTATGATGAATCTACTGTTATGGTTCGATACGAGGACGGTTAGGGGGATGTGCTTTCAACATATGGCCTCAAATGGTGTGAGGATCTGATGGAATGGGGTAACACCTCTACGAATTCAATAGGCTCCTCTACACTAATGCAGTCCACAGCACACACCTCCTGTTCATTTCCAATTAGTGCATTAGCAGTAAGCAGGTGAATAGTCCTTGTAACACACTCCCCTCCTCCTAACCCTTACCTGACGATTAGAAGTCAAAGGAGTGATTGCATCTGTACCCTTGTATTGCAGGATTCCTCGGGAGAAGTCGTTATCGGCCGCAATGGGAGACGCAAATGGTACAAGAGTGCGGAGGATCCGCGCAGGAAGATCCTGCATGCCAGATACGTGAGTAGACTCATGGAAGCCATTTCCATTCGAGCTGTCTTCTCGATGCTATTGGGGTCAGTAATCGGCCTGGAAGCAGGAGGCTGGATCGAGGACGTTACGTTTGGATGGACCTACAATGAATCCATTGCTTGAACTCTCTACAGACCGGGGGAAGTTTTCAGAGATTTCAGAATGGAAGAGTGGCAACAGACGAAGGCAGGATGCAGATGCACAACCAAGTGATTCGAAAGGTTTCTCGAGTCAACTTCTACAAGCCTCCTTAGGGGGGATTTGCAGGGTCTGCCGCCTAGACACGTTATCACTACTGATTATTTGATTACCCGACTCCCACTCCTTAAATAGCTGCTATCATGTGGATTGAATCACATTCCCTTGGATAAGCTAGATGTGAAAGAGGCGATGAAGGAGGTGTTTAACCTATGAGGGCAGACGGAAGAACTAATAAGCAGGGAGCATGAAGTGGAACACCGACATCTTGAGAAAATAAGGAAGGGACTGAGGGACAACTGCATGCCTAGGTTCATAGATTACAGGGATAGGCATCGATCACTGAAGCATATAGATTTGAAAGTTTTTCATCTGATGCATGAAGTGGAATTCATTACTAGACATTTCTTTGTTGCATATATGGATAAAGCTTCCAACACAGCAGTAATAATCTGTAAGGATTTTGTAAGGCAATTGACACTAAACAAACTGAACAGCGTTGATTTTGAGTCTTTGGGGATTGATGCAAGGGAAATGATTACAACTATCAGAAATGAAAATAGGGATGACTACCCTCTTGGACCCCCTAAGATCCCATACTTGATGGTCGACTACAAGAGTCACAAGAAATCACTCAGATGGATCACAAATGCTAACCAATGTCTGCTATCCCCTGTTGTTGTGATATGTGCCCTAGCCTTGAAACTTGTAAGTGAAGAGGTACAGATTCACTGTGGCAAAATTGCGAACTGTGTTAGAAGCCTCCATAACGTGAAACTGAATCTATGGTGGCCTGTGGACTCCATAAACGACTACTGCCTAAACATCCCACAGAAAGTGCATTCGGTTTTCTCGGCGGATATTAGCCGGTGTTTCGAAACCATTCCCATGGAAGGCTCGGCGCATGGGCTGATAACCGCTCTTGCATTTGCAATAAAGAAAGGCTTCAAAAACAGGCAGTAAGAT